GCAAATACAATTTTAAAAAATATGTTTGATTTTACTGGTAAATCGGTTGCTTGAATAAGTGTCGTTCGATAATAGAATGAGATAGGAGTAAATATGAAACTGCAATACAAATAATATACAGTCCTTTACAATTATTCTATTTATCATCGATGATAAAACTACAAAGCAATTATTTTATCTCCAAGACTACTGTTCATTAGACAGATTTATTAAACATTATTTACATGAAAAATCAATTACAGGGCAATTTTTGTAACGAGTTCTTAACTTTTATATTAGAAAATCTCCATTAATATGTTTTATCAGACGCACTAAATTTATAACAATTTTTCGTATTTGAAAGTGTATTTTAAATCAAATTTGTCCCTCTTTTATAATAAAAATCAACTGCACGGAAAATTATTTAATTACATTTATCCTTCTATTTTACAATTCAAATTTTACGTGGTCATATTAATTGATAGATTAAGCTGTACTTTACCTGAGCATAGACAATCTGATTGCATGGATTTCATACATGTTGTCTCATTATTTCTTGAATCATTAATTAACATAAACTTGTATTTTTAAATATTTATACGAAATTGTTAATGCTTAAATTTACTATTTTAAATGTTTGAGTAGGTGCTGATAATCTTTTTTTATTTTATGATGATTGTGCGATCATTAGAATTCCACATCATTGTAAATTGGTTTTTCAAAAGTTTTATAGCTTCTCTCGTCTAAAACATGTTATATAACATATTTATTACATAACTGAAATCTTTATTTACTACGTCGTAAAGTATATAATAAATGAATTGACTTTAAATTTAATATATATTATATAATATGTGAAAGGCATTTTAAAATAAATTTAAGAAAACGCGGACCTCTTACATTTGCAAATATATCGTTAAATTGAGAAAATTCATTATATAAAGATGACGTTATGATTCTACAAAACATTTTTTCTCTATTTCTTTTGCATTATTTACATTTTTCATTGTTCACATTATTTTCCAAATTTTGTATAGACTGATTGCGTATTTAATCTTTTTTTTTTTTATTTATTTGTTTGTTTTTTATTTCAAATGTTCTAATAATTTTTGAGAATTGCTCGTTACTCACAAGTAGTTTTATTTATGAACACGGTAAGGGCTGCTGATAAGTGTGACACGGGGCCTCAAGGGTCACGTCAACAACAGCTACGCCTACTTATTCCCCCTCTACTAAATATTCACGTGAGAATAGGACCGACAAGTAGCGATGAGACCAGCCCACCACGATGGACGAAGCCCTGGACTTAATACTTTTAGTATGCCTATGAAGATGTAGAAATTTATATTTATTAACACACCAGCTTCCTAATTTTGTCTTTTCTTTTTTTTTTTTTCTGTTTTCTTCGACAATTATATTAAGCTGAGATTTCAATTTATTCAATTCGCTACATATATTAATGTAATAACTAATAGATTTAACAGAAATAGAATATGAGAAATAATCCTGCTTATGGTACTAAGAGAACGATACATAAAGTATTATAATCTGTTTGTGTTAAGTACACATTTTTAATCAAATAGAATAGTAATGAAATTCTAGATCATTAGATTTATAGTTACAAGTAGTAATACGATACATTTATTATTATAGTTATATAAGCCAAGTGTATATACGTGTGTGTATATATATATATATATATATATATAATAATCACAATAAAAATAGAAATACTAAAATTAAATTAATTTATTCCAACATTATTTATCGTTTTGTTTGTAATTACAATTTTAATCTAATTATAAAAACCGTACAATGACAATTTTATGTGCTTGTTACTCAACATCATATCGAAATTATATTATTCAAAAAAACCAATTAATATGTAATGAAAGAAAAGAAATTGACGTAAAATACTTATCCGTACGTGTATGTATAAATGATCTGTAATATATTGCCACAGAAGCTGCTCAGCCGATAAACTCAATATCACACGAATTACCATCGGATTTGCTCTAACTTACCGCTCTACTATGTGGAACACGAATATTATTATCGAACAGTAATAGATGGCGCAATAATCGTAATGTACCGTTTACGATACAAATGCTACTATAGTAATTGTAGATTTTTCTTTCTTTTCAGTCTCAATCATGAAATAATAGATGATGTAGACTACTCACACTTACTAAATAAGTATTTTTAATGTGGACGCTTCATAAAAATGGTCCGACAGAAGATATGCAATCATTTAAATGTCATACTATGCATATATATATATATATATATATATATATATATATATATATATATATATATATATATATATATATATATATTATAACAAATATTGAAATTTTCTGATAATGTCAACATAGAATTGTGTAATATATTTGTTAATATATTAATATGTAGTATTTGTATAATTTATAAATAAGCGAAAATATAAAGAATTTGATAAATTTTTAATGATATTTATAATTCAGTTATAATTATAAATGAGTGTATTTATTAAATTCTATTATGTTTGAAACATATTTGGTTTTTTGCTACAACTCTGAGCTCCAAATCGTAAACTCGACATTTTTCAGAGGCATCGGTATACATATTTTCTTCATAAATAATGTTTTTTTCTCTTTTAGGAAAATACTGATGATTATTTTAATCCTTATCCTAATATTATCCTTCGAATAATATTATATCTACAAACTTTCATTCCTCTATTCATAATTATTGCCATCGCTTGCAACACTCGAAATTCAATATTCAATTCAAATTGTTATTTATAGATTTATAAGGCAAAGTACTCGATAAAAATCACGCGTGAAATATCGAAAAAGAGTAATTGTAACGAATAAAATTATAAATTAACCACAATCAATATAGCATGCAGCAAAAACACATGTCGCGATAAAATTTCATTTCCAATCCAAAAATTGGTCAATAAAAATTGATCAATTTTATTATAAATATTTTAACGAACCTGAATTTACGATCAATTATCGAATTAATATTATTTTATACTACTGATATGACTTGATAACAATTATTAGTGTCAAATTGAACGAATGTATCCCAAAAGAGGGGACGACAATTATTATTATTATTATTATTATTATTAAATATTCGTATAACTTAAAATTATACATACAGTTGAATTGACTAATAAAGAATGTCTAGTAGGCAGTGGCAAAATATTGCACAACAGAGCGAAAAATAAGCAATAATTGATAGAGAAATATTTCTGTAAATTAAATCGTTTTAGGCTGTAAAATTACGGACATGTTGAATAATAATAATAATAATAATAATAATAATAAAAAAAAAATAAATAAAATAAAACACGCACAGTGTACATTGAATCGTGAATGCGTGGGATGGACGAATCTGGTCATCCGATCTACTTGTTTGCCATTCCAATTTGGGCGAATGATGATTCAAATGCAAAGTACGGACGTTTGAAAGGACGCGATTGACGCGTTTTTTGTAAAAAATATTTGTGACATTGCAAGTTTGAATTTTAGATGCGATTCAACATGCAGCGCACGTCTTGGTACAGCAATGCACCGAGAGAGTAAAAAACTTTGCTGAAATTTTAATGGCAGAAACTTTGTAAAAAAAAAATGAAATAGTTTTTATTTTGGTTAATTTTCGAGCTTTCTAAAGTAGAGTTAACAAAATTTTGTTTTAAACAAAAGTCTAATAAAACGAACCGCTGAATAATCAAACTCCTAAGTACCAAACGGTAACATAAACCGCAAAATTTTTACTTATAAAATTATAATAAAGCATTTACAAGGTTCGACAAAAAGGACGATTATGCATGTACATTATTAATTAATATTACATCTTGCAACCGGAGTCAGAGGTGGACGCATTCTATACTCCGCCAAGTAGTAACTGAAAGAGAGAGAGAGGGAGCAGAGAGAGAGAGAGTGAGAGAGAGTGAGAGAGAGTGAGAGAGAGTGAGTGAGAGAGTGAGTGAGAGAGGGACTCTTCTCTATTTCTCGGCTCTTTACCTAATCGGGACGAAATCTCGCTGTCCTCGAGGATCTGGACCCGCACATCCTGGATTCGCCGCACCCTCGGTGTAGCCTCGGTCTCGTTGAGATTCTCAAGTGCTTTTTTCTTATGTACAAATATTTGATCAAATTACTCATTATAAAATATTAATGCTGAAATTTATGACAAATACGGTTTAAAAATTAAATAAAAAAATTAAATACGAGGATAAATTCAGTATTATTTAAAAAGTCTAAAATTAAACTCGAAAGTAGTCTAGTTGTTTAGGAATAAAATTTATTTGCTATTTCAATTATTTAAGTTATTGCATTCACCGAGGTCAGTTAAGAAACGAGAATTCAAACACTCGAATTGATGTTAAAAAATTATTTTTTTTTTTTTTTTTTTTAATAATAATAATTGTATTTTTTTAATGATTCAGTAAATCGATACAAATTATTATTATAATATCAATATGTTCTTGAGCATTTGTCCTATTGAATTTGAAATTTAATCGTACAATTGCATTTTTAATGAGCGTAGTAAATAATGTTTACTTTCTTTACTTAGATCCTGGCAACATTTGACTTTAAAATTTTATTTCAATTACAAATTATTCTTAATAATGATACAAAATTACTTTACATTGCGTACTTACAAAATTTAAATAACTCATATCCCTAGTTTGAATATATGCAATAATTTTAGATTTTAGTTGATTGCTAAATTGACAATTAAATAAATAAAAATAAACGCTACTTATGAATAAATTCTGTTTTTAATAAACCGCGACAGTTATGAAATCAATTTTAAAAAATGTCATCAAATCATTATCATCGAATGCAGTAAGGTAGTGTTAAATGTTAAATTGATTTTATTGTCAATTTATATATATGTATTAATAAAAGCAGAGCGTAGATAATGTAATTACTTGATTCACCATCACTAGACACAAACGCAAACGTACGTTTAACCAGTCCTTTCTATAGAGAAAATTTTCTTGCTGTTACTGTAATATCTGTACTTCCTATGTTTCGTGCTATATTGTCATAGAAACGATTGAATATATATTGGATGATGTATTGAACAAACTAAAGGACTTAGTTAGTATCCATTCGATACTTATACCATACTGCATAGAAAATGTCGACATCCCGTCCAGTAACATCTCGTCCTGTAACATCTCGTAAATGCAAATCAGCCGTTTACATTTGGGATCGACGTACTTTTCAACAACATCGGCTGAAAGTAAGAACATTATCCTTCAGTCTTATATTTCACTGGCACTACCAAGTACATATTAATTTATAATTAGTCTTGGATACTTCACTAGTGCTCAATACTCAATGCTAGTGCTTTTTACACTCTCTATGACGAGCTACTCAATATTAGTATTATATGTTTATATATTCAATATCGCGGATATAGATAAATTATAAATCTGTCGTATATATGCGTTCGTTTGGAAAAATTCTATTTAAATGAAACAAATTGAGTGAATTGGTTTGCAAGTAATTTTTTTATCGATAATGCTGAAATTAAGAAAAATTAAATAATCGTTAATTATTTAATTATAAAAATGAATTTCATTGCAAATAACAAGCAGTGGATGAACGCAGATTTCATGGCTGAGCTAACCAATAGAATAAATCATTGACAGGTACGTGAAGCGAAAGCGACGGTGAACATGAAAACGCCTGAACGTAGGCCACACATTTTGTACAAAGCCAAACGATTGCAATTTGAACGAGATCGACAAGAACAAATAGCTCGTGACAATTTCATTTTGTACAAGAGACTCACAGACATCATGAGTGGAAAACTACGGCGCAAGTATCCCATTACTCAGCAAAAATCTAATTGCATAAAACTTCGATGAATTGTATGTATCGATGATGTATCGATGAATGATACTTTGGATAATTCGTAAAGCTCATTTCTTTATATATTCACGTACATGTGTATTAATCATAATAATTTTGATATATTTTCTAATTTTATAATCGTTGAAACACGAATGAAAACAAAATACTAGAATTATTAAACTTATGGCATTATCGTATGGTAAAGTGTATAATATAAAATACCTTAAAATTTCTTCGAATGTTCTACGGTCCATTGGAATATTGATAATAAATCCTAAAAATACATTAAAAACTTGTTACCTATTAAAAAGACAGAGAGAAAAAAAACGAAAAATCTAACATAATCGTGTGATTTAAATTATTCTAAAATAATCTTTTGTCAAAATTTATAGACACTAAAGAAGTACAATAACGAACATATAAAGTTTATTAATACGAAATTTGAAAAAATTAATTTCTACTTTATTCAGTAATGTTACGCAAGAACATTTTTATCAGTTACTTCAAATAGAAATATAAAACATGTAATATATGCATCTTTCTTTAGAGTATTCAGACTGACTTTTTCTTATTTGTATGAAAAAAAAAAAAAAAAAAAAAAAAATCCTTGTCTTTTGATAATAAGTTATATATTCATTCAACGGAATATTTATTTTATAATCAAATATCCTGTGTACTTCTTAAGTTAAGTGTTAATTTTAATTTTCATTATTTATTTATTGCCCAGGATAACATTTATAAATATATTATTAAATCGACTGAATTAAACTAAATTATCAGATTAAAAATTAAGTTCATTTATATCGCTTATAATATACGATCCGTTATCATTATGATTAAACTACCATATAAATTATGCATATGATAAAAGTCTTTTATAACTTTTATACTTAAAGAAAGTTCAACATAAATCTTTCTAATATATACATATATATATATATATATATATATATTTCTGCCTAGGCGTTCATTAAGTAATTAACACATTGAAATTAATAAATTATATTTAATTATATTATCAGAATAAAATTTATAAACCTATAAATATATATATATATATATATATATATATATATACTTCAAACTATAATTATTAAATACATTTTGTACGAAAAAGTTTACGAAATCTAAATTCTAAAATTTACAAATTAAATTTTACAATTTACAAATACAACGTAGTCGTATGTAGTTTATTTAATGTATTATGTATTCACTGTTTAGATAAATAAATTTATCGTAAATATTTCAGTATTTTTATTATTTTTTCATTTTTTACTATTGTTTCATAATATAATGTACGACCATGTATTCATAAGTAACAAATAATTCTTTGAAATTTATTAAATTATTCTCTAAAATATTCTATTTAATACGAAATTGAAGAGCTTCTCTTATACAATTTTATAATCAAATTTCAGTCCCATTTTTTTTAATATTATACTTTATGTCTAAAATAATTATGTATACATTCAAATAAATATAAGGAAGAAAAATTTTTTAATTCATTTTATTTTTGTTATTTTCACTAATACTTATCATTGTGTTTATCTATATATATATATATATATATATAGAACAATAAAGAGAAATTTTATGAAAGTCTTATTTTATACAGCAGTTTCTAGAAGATTTAGAACTCGTAATTACATTAATGTATATAACTATGGTTTCTCTCATTTTATGGATCATTTCATCTTAATTTATATATGAAAACTTAACTTTTGAATCTCCTTTCATATTATCAAATTCTATATTTCAATTTTTCTTTCCTAGTTAATCAATTACATTAATTTATTAATCGATAGTTAAAGACTTTTAATTTTTCGTTTGAAATAGCTGCTATAGTATTTATTAAAAGATACATCATATATTTTCATATAAATTATTAATATAAATTTATTGTTCAATTTACATTATAAATTTAAAATTCGCTTACGTATTAAAACATTGTTTTTCTCTACATATTTATTGATATATTTTAAAGTGGGATATAAAAGTTAATCTTATGACGAAGCAATAATTTAATGAATGATTGCTAAATTAAAGACAATGAAATGTTCGCTTATCTAATTACATTCATTAATACTTTTTTTTTTATAATAACCGAATGAGCTTTGCCTTATAAAATGCATTCAATAGGATAAAGTGACTAAACTGCAGATCTGAACATTTATAATGATGGTTCCTTATAAATTTGTTTGACTGTTTTATCATTTTAGAGACATAATCTTTTTGGTAAAATTATAGTTTTATATTAATATTATTATAACAATTATTTGAAAAAAAAAACAAGATATTATACAATGAAGAATTAACTATTTTTAATCCTGAGCTTGTGAGCAAATTTCAAAATTTTTATGCTTTAAATTGATACATAATCATCACCTTTTTCTTTTTAACTTATATCGTCACTTCAATATAATTTTCGTCGACTATTTTGCAAATAAATTACACGAACCCATATTAATAGAATGTTTGAAAGTTTAAAATTGACATTGCGAATCAACAACGATAAAATTTACATGTTCATTTATTCGTTGCTATAATTAGAAATAGTAAACAATATAGTTCTCTCTATATATAAAGCATTTGTCAAAAAAAAAAAAAAAAAAAAAAAAAGAAAAAAAGAAAGAAAACACGAGTGCCTAAATTCGTTTTAATTATCAGAACACTCATACAGTCATAATATTTGTGAGATAAGCAGATCGCGTAAAAATGGCACTACGTTGATAATCTCCCTAACTTGCAGTTAAGAATTTCGTTGTCGTTATCATCATCATCATCATCATCATCATCATCATCATCATCATCATCATCATAATCATCATTATTATCCTAAAAAACATTATTAATGGTAGCAATGATAATATTGTTAGATACAACACATACGCGTAAATGTACGTAATAATTTTTTTATAAGTTTACTTCGTTTATATGTGTATGTAGTACACGTGCGTGGCCGTTTGCATGTTTAATTTCTTTTACATGTGCATTGAACGAATGATTTATTTACACGACTCTATTTTATTATTTTACATTAAAATCCTTAATCTGCGCCATAGAATTATTTTGCCCGTTTATTTTTAATATTCACATTTAATGAACGATAATAGAAATTCATCTAAATGTAATGACATTTATTCATAAATTATAAGATAATATTTATTTTACGTTTAGTTTATAATTGAAATGAGTAAATATTTTCTACTAAAGCAGAAGTCTTTACAATGCATATAAAGTTTGGGGAGAAAAATATGAAGTAACGGTTCATGAAATATTTTATGTAATTGCAACACGTCTTGATAAAAAATTCGTCGACAAATTCGTTTGGATCGTAGCTACGTTTTTAAAGATCCTTACCTCGCTGTAGTATAAATATATCACAGCTTCTTTAGATAAAATTTCAAATTCAAATAAATACACAGTAGTTTAAAAGAATCCCGAGCTATAACAGTTATGATTTAATCGATTAACGGCAGTATATTTGCAGGCAGTCCAACGTGTAAGTTTCAACGCGTTATATTTGTCTCACATTAGCTGTGTTTTATTACATTTGTGTCCACAATGAAAGATCAATCGCGAAAGGTCGGCGATTACATTTAGTGAGCTCATTATAGCGGGCAAAAATATATTCGAGTAATAAATTGAAAATGACAATGTAAACAGAAGTAAAAGATAACGGATCGATTGTGCGGTGCGGTAATGGAGGAGGGGGTGTCGCGGTAAAGCTAGATGCTGCGAAATTGTCAAAAATATTACAGCCTCGCGATGAACGACATGACGTATGCAAAATAAGCAGGCCTCTCGAGCCACGAAACATTGCCTCGACGGTGTATGAGCGTTAGAGGGGAGGGGGGCGAAGATGAAGAAAAAAAAGCCAAAGGTCTGCAATGTGGACGTGGCTACGGCCTCGAGCACCGGAGGAGAGTCGTGACGGAACAATCGACAAAGCTAGCGAAGAGGAGGATGAGGCAGCTGGCCCGGGGCCCGGCTTAAGCTTACTACGGCTCTGGGGCCCCGCGATACTAGAGAGCTCGACGTTAGCTTCCCGCTATCGCTCAGACGCTCGTCGACATGACCGAGGAGAGCAGCACCCACCTCTGCGAGCTCACGACCGAGCAGAAAGAATTCGCGGCTGCGTACCTTAACGAAACCGAGGCACTGAGGCTGCGGCGCATCCAGGATGTGCGAACTTGGATCCTCGAGGACAGCGGGATCTCGTCCCGATTAGGTGAAGAGCCGCTAAATAAAGAGTTTCTCTCTCTCTCTCTCTCTCTCTCTCTCTCTCTATCTATCTATCTATCTATCTATCTATCTATCTATCTATCTATCTATCTATCCGTCTCTCTTCCTCTATCTCTTTCTCCGTGTAACCATTTGGCGGAGCTGCGGGTCGAGGATGATTTCTCACTGGGTGCTGTAGAACGTGGCCGCCCCTGACTCCGACTGCGAGATCCGACCAAGACCGCGAAGGTCTCGACGAAGATCGTAGTCCCGAATCTTATCACGGTCAGCTGTGCGACGTGCGGTGCTTATGTACCAGACTCAATGATTCCCGGTCGGAGAAGGGAGCTACTCCCACGAGAGCATCCTCGACGGCGCGCTTTATCGCATTATCGATTATATGACATAAATATGATGATGAAGCGTGTTAGTAAGTGGCGACGATTACGAGCGGACTGATTAGGCCGGGAGGGGGAGGGGGTAGGACGTTAGAGGGCCGCCGATAAACAAACTTTTGCTTCGCGCGCCAACAGATGACTTTTTCATACTGCGCTTCCTGCGGGGCTGCAAGTTCGACATCGAGAAGACGAAGCGGAAGCTGATGAGCTACTATGTGCAGAGATCCCTGTCGCCCGAGTGGTTCACTAACCGAGACCCCTTCCTTCCAGAGATACAGGAGCTGCTGAATCTGGGGTAAGAGCTGTTTTACAGTGAAATTGACGCTTCGATGATTCGATAAGGCGGCTTTTTACGCGCTAAGGACTCATTCAGGCGCATCGACGCTAGCTAATCGCTCGTTAAAAAAGAAAAGTAGCCTTTAATTTTCCGTGGGCACTCCGATTACGATAATAATACACGTGCCCATTGTATTCATAAATATATATATATATATACATAAATATATATGTGTGCGTGCGTGCGTGCGTGCGTGCGTATATATATATATAAGCCCGCACTCCTGGTATTCGTATCATGTTTTGTATTGTTAGATTTTGTATTTTATGCTATTGGCAATGTGCGGGCAAGCACAAAATAAATAACGCATTTGATTTTTTAACGCAGAGTCTTTTTGCCCTTGAGAAAGGTGGACGAGGAGGGCAGAATGGTCATTATTATTCGCACGTGTGTGCACGATCCCAGAAGACACAAGATCGCCGACGTTTTCAAGGTGGGCACGACTTCCTTTAATCAACTTTTCACGTTATTTTAAACTTTTTATAGTACGATCGACTACGTCGTATCATGGTATGATTGGACTCGGTGCCGCAATAATAATATACGTATTCTTTAATATTCAGTGTAAAGTGTAAATGTAAATCCAGTATCATAGTCGTAGAGTAATTTGTTAATCGGTCGTGAATGAAATGAAAGTAATGCTATAACGGCGGCGTCAGGATTACGTTTTGAAATTAATATCTGCACATTAAGTTGTGATATCGACGCTTTTGCTATTATAACGCCAAGTTTTATTGCGAGTCGAAGCAGTATTTAACGTTAACGTACGAAACGAATATTCGAAAAGCTAACGCATTCAATGCGATGTACATTACGATATGCGTTACTTGGGTACATAGGTCCGTGGATATTTTTAATTACGATGCTTCACAATAATCATGAAATATATCGGGCCCACAACACTTTCAATACATCGAGACGAAATATTATCCAAAGTCATTTCATAAGGATGAAAATTCAATTTTATATATAAATTAAAGATTCTTTGCTCAATTTGCCTCCTCGAATTTTCATATTTATTTGAGGTTGTCTTTCAGTTAATAGTAATCAATATATTACGAGTATAATTTGATATATTTCCTTCGCTAAGGTCATTTAAGAAAGCCCGCAATTTCACGGTCGAGTTCATTCGGATCGTCGGAATGGTAAAACAAAAAAAAAAAAAACAAAAAAAAATAACAAAAAAACAATCCTTAATTATCAATAAATGACTGGTTAAAGATATCCTATTAATTGACTCTAATTAATTCACTCTACTCGCTTATTATTAGATAGATTTTATAGAAGAGACAATTTATAGGATTCCGCGAGCATTATAGTATGTAAAAAATTTGATTAAAAATAGTCGATAAATTTTTACTCCTGCCAAACATTGAAAATAACAACAACGACGACGACGACGACGACGACGACGACGACGACGACAACAACAACAAAAAAAACAAAACAAAAAATCAGACAAACTAGTTTTAGATCACATTTCGAAAATTAGGATATACAAACAATATACAATGATAATCTAGTATTGAAATAGGAGAATATTAATGAATTAATTTGTTTTCGTTTTGCCTTGAAACGAATATTTGAAAGAATTATTTGAAAGTAATTTAGTGACAGTGTTAAAATTTTTATAATTATCATTATTTTTGGAAGTTTTGTATAAAATACATTGAGCCAGGAACATATTGAAAGAATACTACATACGCTACTGTATTCGTATATACTAGTCTTATAAAAATGTATACATTGTATAAGTAGCGTATGGAAAAAAATTTATCGTAAAACTCAGAACAATAGCGATGTATAAAGAAACACTTGCACACAAGAGAGCTCAAACAAATACAAATAATTAATTTGAAATGGATTATTAATAAGATTAATGCATAATCACAATGTAATACTTGTTTCTCCGTTCGTTAGTTTCTTAGTTGCAATTTAAAGATAATATGTGACAGAATTACAATTACACTAATAATGAGTGCAGAGTAACAAATAAATTATCTTACAATTATTTTACAATTATCTTGTAACAATTATTGTAGAATGAGTGAAATATTAAAAAAAAAAAAAAAAAATAAAAAAAAAATATATATATATATATATATATATATTTACAATTGATATTTTCATTGTTAAAACTCTTATTTGATTCTGCTCTTATTGTTCTTCATGCATTAATTTTTCTGATAACATAAGATCGGAGTTTTATAAATAAACATTTATCATAATCTTATCTATAACATATAGCATTTTGTAATTACCTTATTTGTAATAATTTTAATAATTATCATATATTAGCATCCGTTGATTTTTTATAATTTCAGTCAATCATGCATATTAAAGATTGAATAAATTTCTTATATCGAGATTGCTTTTTAAAAAAAATCGTGAAACATTAAATGAAAAGTATGTCCATTTATTTATTTGTTTAATAAATTTTTTCATAATTAATATCTTTATATCAAATGAAAATGCAATGGATAATTTATAAAAAGAATTTGAAATATTTTGAACATGCTTTCGTGACTTTGTGAATTAAGTGTCAATAGTTCATTGATAATATTTACAAATAATGAAATTTTCGAATTTTATATTGATACGATTAAATTTAATCGATATAATGAAGTGTCAGAATTTGTAAAATAACTCGACTGATTAAAATAACTAATGTACAATGTAAAATAACAATGTATTGTTATAAGCGTAATATATATATATATATATATATATATATATATATTGTTTTTTGTACAAAAACTGCATTGACATTGTTCAAAAATTAATAGTGACATAAACTTATGTGATGAATGATCAATTAATTACTTTAGACATTAAATAACGTAACAGCCGTTTTACATGAAAATATTTTTTTTATCACAATAAACATACCATTTTGCTGCCATAATTTCTGACAAAAGACACTGAACCTTTAATTCGCGTAGATACTAATGTCTAAATAAAATAGCTGAAAGTCTATCGGTTTTCCTCGCCAAACACCCTGGTAAGAAAAAAGTAAAACATGACTCAGATTATTAAGGGAAGATAATATAATTGGGCACACAGACCTCGATAGGAAAGACCTTGTTACCTTCTTACGTTTAAGGTGCCGCATAACGAGACAATTGTCCTGGATATTTTCAGACTGGGATGATGGTGTTGGACCTGGCGGCTCGCGAACATATAGCCTCCTCTCTCTATGGAATTGTATCCGTACACGACATGACGGGAGTCCAGTTGAGCCATGCCCTCCAGATGACCCCGGGGGTTGTTAAAAAACTCGTGCACACCTGGCAAGGTTATCCTAATAGAATCCGCTCTCTCGAGTACATCAACGCGCCAGCGCACGTCAACATCGTCCTTAATATTTTTAAGCGCTTCATGAGCAAGAAGCTCAGACAGAGGATGCACGTGCACCGAGGTGACGACAAGGCCCTTCTTAAGAAGCTTTCGTCGAGTATCCTACCTAGTGAACTTGGCGGCACCGAGGAAGACTACGACACACTCAAACGTACGACATCACACTGTTTATCCCTATCTTTCTCGTGACGAAACCCTGACACTCTTTACGGGATTACATCGATTGTTTATACGACTCGATACAAAATTGCTTTTGCATTACTTCGCTACTCGTTGGCCGTTCTTGGGATTAAAAGTGAAATTAACTCTCACGTTATATCGAAAGCCGCTCGCTCGTTAAACAAAGTACGCGTTTATCGATCGGTTGAGACGCATTAGCAGATCCTCGTTGATTCAATGGTAATATCGACTGATCGAAAATTCCAACGACCTTCTCTCGTCGATGATGATATTATCTAGGAGAAGCGATAAATTAATTGTTCCAATATGTTTTACGTATTTACAGATGAATAAGAAAGAAAAGAAAAATAATAATTTTTTTTTTTTTTTTTTTTTTAATACATCGCTTTAAAATAAATCGTTAGGTTTTACGTTGAATTATAAAGTTTTACTCGTTTTTCTACAACGAATAATCGATTAAACTTCTTTTCATCGCTTCTATGTAGCTATTTATATATGCTAATATAGCGTTAAATTTTAAAGAATGTGAATTAAAATAATAAAATTAATATCAAATGCAAATTTAGATTAGAAAAAATTGTATGCTCGAAAATTACGATAGACTTTTAAATAATTTTCATTCAATAGTAATTTCGATCATATATATATATATATATATAATACATACGTACGTAACGTACCTTTATAAACATTACAATTTCGTGCTTCTTATCAATATCTGATGATCTTATTTGAAAGACTGCAATTTTAATAGTAGCTTGCTCTAATTTATATTGCATTTACATTTATATAATTAATTAAGCGGCGGTCTAAAGAGAAGTATCTTTTGAATTTGTTGCGGGGTGGGGTGGCAGGGGTGGGGTGGGGAGCCAATAGTTTTCTTACATATATAGCATTTCTAATAGTAAATATTAGTGCAGATTCTTTTGTCAATAAGATATATTATTTTGTTTGCTTTTCGAGGTTTGTATCAATATGATTACCGAAAATAATATAAAAAATCTGAATATTCGCAGGATATTGGAAACAGGAGGTAGAAACGCATAAGCAATGGTTTATTGATGATGAACAGTATAAGCTCAAGAATAAATCAAATGAATAAAATATATATTTGAGAGGTTCGCTCTGATCGCAGTGTAAGGGAAGTTTCACGCATACCGTTAACGATCTTCTTTTTCTTCGAAGTACTTATCTACTTGAGAAAAGTTCTTTATTTATGTCTGTAGAAACGCATTAATGCACTAATGGAATCGTCGATTGTGTATTTTATAATAAAGTTTTATAAAGTATAATAAAAATTTTAATTTAATGATGAATAATATAAAAATCGTTTTTTATTATTAAAGAGACGAAAATATTGTGACACGGAAATAAATAATGTTTAAAACGTCATTATTGGATTTTCAAGATTGTTATTATTACAAGTTAAATAATAAAACATACACTTAAGTCATGGGCAAGTAGAATCGTCCTATAGCTAACCATTTAACATCTAAAAACAGCTTATAAAAAAAGATACTAATTACAAGTTCACCTTTGTCCCAGCACGAGTTTACAAACATCCTTGGGATCGGTCTTACTCGTGCCGCAAAAATAAGCTACGAATGAATTGATGATCGATTCAATCTTGAAAATTCATCTCTCCTCTTCAACTTAATTTTTTTCTTCTTGTTCTCTCGGCAAGAGATAACAACAAATGATCATAAATGTTAACGATTACAAAACATCAATAGAATCACTATTTCGTTGCTTACAGCTTCAATGTATAATAATCGTATTCCTTTTTCTATTTTTTTTTGCTCTCTTTTTTGTTTTGTTTTGTTTTGTTTTGTTTTTGTTTTGTTTTTGTTTTTTTTCTTCTTCTTTTGTTTAATGATGCAATGTACGCATGCAAAAAAATCTATAAGTATTTTATTTTATTTTTTTCAATAACAAAAACAACATTTTTATCTAAATAATATAAAAAAACAAGTTCAAAATAAAAATTCGTCATTTTTCCTACGTCATTACCTATCTATAGCGTATACGAATTTCATGAGATGTGAATCTTTCATTTTATCTTTTCCCCCTCTCCTTTCAATAAGCACGATATTATTGCAATTCTATTGCCTTTTGTATAAATTGCATATATTTATAATTATGTATAAAAATGTTGAAACGTTTCTTCCCTGCATTGATACATTTTCTTTTTCTTCGTCAGAAATATTTCAACCGGTATATTATACTTCATACGACACTATGAGCGACTTAAACGCCTTATTATGTTCAAAATATAACACAAATATCTATACTACCAATTCCATTTACATTTAAGATTAAGTCCTTGCCGTATTCCTTTGCTATTTTATTTACTCCTTTTTAAATAATAGAAAAAAGTGCGCAACGCAAAGCGCTATTATAATCAAGGACTAAGCATATGTTCAATAGTGAATTTCTAATTATCCCACAGTATAAAAATTTTCAAAAATTCCGTCGACTATAAAAAATGCTTACGTTGAAACTCTTAAATGCAAATTTGATCTTTTTCTTCGGAATGAATCGGAGTTTCAACTTTCGCTTAAATAACGCAATATAAATGTTAACGACATGATAAGCACGAAATAAATCAGACAAAAAACTTACGTATCGCTGTCTGCGTTAATATAAAAAAGAAAACAATTGGATTGAAATTATATAATATGCGGATCAGGGATATTTTCTATGTTAATTACACGTACGCACATTACTCTGTTTTATATATCATACAAATGCACAATCACAATTACATATACAATCACGCAAGCAAAGCAGGCACAAAAATTTACTCATACGTTTATTATAATTAGTTAATTTGTAATTCGACGCCAGGCGATTCGCTGATTTGGCGATGGATACACTTATTTTGGAAAAACATCCATTTGTCTGTTTTTTCAAATTAAAAACTCTATACGAATGTATTCGGTGTCCTTTCGTAAAAAATGCGTAAACCTTTTGCGAATAGGCCGAATAAGTATACTTACGTTTTGGTAATTTTTTTTTTTTTTTTTTTTTTTTTATCCAACTAATAGTTTGACAATGAAATTAACAAACGGAAATATGCTATAACAAATTATTTTGCCAAACCAGACGGGGGATAATATTTGCAGTTTGAACATTCAAATTTTATGTATTCTTCGTGTCATACATCCACGCACATACACCCAATCCAGCTACCCAGCCACTCATCCACCCACCCGCACGCGCGCGCGCGCGCGCGCACACACACACACACACACCGCATCTCGCTCCTTCTCTCTTACTGTATCCTCTCTTATTTATCTTCATTCTTTCACTCGCTCACTGACTCAGTCAATCGTTCTCTCTCTCTCTCTCTCTCTCTCTCTCTCTCTCTCTATCTCTCTATCTCCACTACATTTTCGATCTGCTTTTCTTGTTTTCTCTTCTTAACTCTAACAAAAATATTACAATAACGAAATTACTTAATAGTCTTTTTTCTATAGATTATAAAAAAAAGAAGAAAAAAGAAAATTCGATACACTGTACATATGATGAGAAGGGGACGCGATAGATGGCGCTTCAGTGGCTACTTCATTGTTTCCTGTTGCTATTTCATTGTTAAAATTGTATTGTTGTTTCGCTTATCCACGCTTGAACTTTAGTACGAGCATGCTTATCGTCAGAAAAACAATGATCCAGATGATGGTTGAGATGAAGCCGTTGTAAACGTCCGGTTCGTCGATATTCCAGCCTCGGGTGAGCATCGAACGAAGTGAGGTCGTCGCCATCGTCAAGGGTAAGCCTTGTGAAACGTATCGCAAAATTGTCGGCATCCCTTCCACTGGCCAAATTACACCTGCAACGACGTTCATTATCGTTTGAATATTTATTTGTAACAATCGAGAGGAATTCGTTCTGCTGGTGTATATTAATTTTATGCGTTAGATGACAATTTTCTACCATATGTCTCCCAATTAATCGAATGCATATTGCAATTTAATAAATTACAAGGTTAATTGATGATTAATATCGTACGATTTATATATAATAATCAATGCATTATTTCCTGGGTATAACAAAAAAAAAAAAAAAAAAAAAAAAAAAACATTAAATTATAATCTTAACGGAGCTTGATCAAACTTAATTAAACAATATTAAATCAACTCGGCTCTTTGAAACATAGTGCTCATCGAATTACAAAACTTATTTGTTCAATTGTGAATAATAACTTAAACGAGATGAATATTAAGAAATTTACCGCTAAGTAAGAGTGTTGGGTAGAAACTGCCTAGAGCCAGTTGAATGGCATTCCTTTCGAGTTCGCAAATCGCCGAAATTACGAAACCTGAAAAAATATAATTAAATACTGGTTAAATTGCCGTAAGAGACTGGATGAACGTAAACGTTTATACATTTTATTGGATGTAAAGTGATCACAAAAATATGACCTTCGTTTGTCTAATTAATTTTGACCTTACGATGTAACGACAGTTAGTTTAAAAAATAAATTTAAAAACAAAAATTTGAATTTGTCGTAGCGTTTATTGTCAAGTTACAAATTTTCATTGATAGATTAATAAAACGTAAAAAAAAAAAAAAAAAAAAAAAAAAAAAAAAAAAAATGACTATAGCATATTCCCATTGAAAATGAAAAAAGTAGAAAGGTGCACATAACATACCAAAGCACATGCCACATAAGCCTTGAAGTATCGTAAGGACGATGACCCAACCAATATCGCCTTTGCATTGAACACCAAAGACGAGGATCATAAAGATCAGCACGAGCGCCGTCTGCCCGCACATAACGACGAATTGTGTTACAACGTGAGAAAAGAGAATTTCACCGGGTGAAACGCCGGCTACCCAACTTCTGTCCAATAGACCTTCCATCCTCTCAATGATTAAGGCAGACGACGTCAGTGCCACCGCCAAGAAGAATACGATGCTGCAATCGTTTTAAATCGTTGATCATTTCTCTCACCACGAGAACGATAATTTTCAACTAATTGTTGAAAGGTTTTTCTTCAATTTTTTTTTATTTATTTATTTATTATTATTATTATTATTTTTTTTTTTTTAATTAACAATCAAGGCATCTAAAATGTCCCTAATAATACCTTCAACTTGTCTCAGTAATCAAACATTAACAAACATTAAAATCTTAAAGGCAGAGTGACTTTTTTTTGTTTAATTAAACACCAAATTAAGTGTTAATAAATATAATTCTATTATGGACATTATTAGGTGCCCGAAATTCGCAGTATTTAAACTGATTATCCGTTTAATAAAAGAAATTTCAAATATCGATTAGACTTGATCGTTCATATCAGTATATCACAAGATAATGTTTAATTAACGTTGAATCAATGGTAAAAGGTTTTTCTTGGTTTTGAACGCTCACGTTAATATGACACCGGGAGCAACGAAATCCGTGAAGCTTGGCTCATTAGATCCGTAAATCGGATCTTTGAACTGAATTGGGACATCTGCGAGTTTCGAATTCTGGTTACAAGTTGATAGTAAATTCTTCGCAAAATCCCTGTATGAATATTGTAGGTTACGAGCAAGCATCAAGCCGATCTGCTGATCTACAATCGAAAGCAAAGATAATTATTAAAAATTAAGGCAATCAATATAAGTGACAATAACTTTTATCCTCGTATTTAAAAAAAAAAAAAAAAAAAAAAAAAAAAAAAAAAAAACACAGTCGCACATGTATAAATAATCGGTGGAGTCATACAACGATGAAACGGCTTGATTATGGCTTATGGGAATATACTTACTGGACATGTCAAGCCAGACCCTGATCTCACTCTGATCAAGAGTTTCTTCGTCGGCTTCCTTTCCAAGAAGCATCCTTGCAACCAAAGCATCCGTGAAGTTCTCCGTGAAGTACAAAGTGCCCCACGCTTTACCTTTCCGAACCGCTTCCATGGCCGACTCGGGATCTGGGTAATATTCCTGTAATTGGAGCGTATATTAGTATATTATATTTTATAGTATATATTATATATATATATATATATATATATATATATATATATATATTATATTATATATTATATATTATAGTATATTATACATAGCTCATAATTATTTTCAATAGCATTCAGCCATTGACTATTAAAAATGAGTTAGCATTAATTAATCGTAATATATATCCACGGATATATATATATGGCAAATTATTTGGCAAATCGCTATTAAAGTTAATCGACCTAGATAAGTTACAACTATTTGCAAGCTAATCCGGTGGTCAGTTAAAAGACATTGGAAACTCAATAAAGCAGCGGCATACCTTTATCATTGTTTCGTTATCGAGAAACTTCAGATATCGACAGCTGAGAAAAGTGAAGGTACAATCTTCAAAGACTGGACAGCTCTTGTTCTCCCAGCTCATCTCGTGGTTGACGATGGCGAGCTTGAGACCTGTCGGATCTCGACCGATGGCTAAGCAGAAGAGTATGACTTGCATCACCGGCAGCGCGAAGATGAACAGCATAACCCTAATGTTACAAAAGGTATTTATTATATTTTCAACGAATATGTAATTCGACATTCATCTTGTGTTTCTCTAAATCTGTGAGGCTTTCGAAGCCGCTCATTTAATTTACCGGACTTATATAATAATAATATTATCCTTGATACAATCGAACGATGTGCGTCTATTTAATTTAATGTGCCCCATGGCACGTAAACGTTTTATAAATGTTTAATCCAAGACTTCCCATATCGGATATCTTATGCAATGCGATGTACAATTTTTCTTTGACATAATTGAGGAAATTTTCTGACTGGCCATTAAAAGTGGCACTAAAAATACCTGTGTCAAGATCTATATAATAATTTCATTGATTGTATTGCAATTTGTACCGTCGAAAGTATTGAGTAATGGAGCATTAAAGGTTTCATAATTATACATAAGCTAGGGTTAAATGGTCAAAAATCATGGACAAATTCAAGTCGACGGGATTTTTTTAATTTTGTTTTGGGTTTTTCTTTTTAACGAATTTGTTAAACTAAGTAACATTTAATGACCAAAGAATTTACAATTATTTTATTTTTAAATATCCAATAAAGACGTGAGTAACGCGACACTAAAATATTTCTTATAAAGTAAAGTCTTCTATTTGAATAGCCCGAGATCTTAAAGCAACGATAAATAACGAAGGTAATGCTTGTGTTTTATAATGATAAAAAAAAAAAAAAAATAAAAAAAAAGGCTACGAAAGGTGTAAAAATAGGTCGAGCAATGGAATGGATTTGCGTTGTGTGTTACAAGTGATGCTGTTACGTACCCAACATTCCTCCACATTCGTAGGAAATTCTTTTGCAGCAAGGCCCTGATCTTCCCTGGGCTGGTGACCTTGTAGCAGTCCGAGAAGTTACAGTCTTCGCACTCGACCGTTGATTCTTTAATACCTGATAGTGACTTTCCGTTGAGCTACGCTCCATGAAACCATAAATTAAACAAATTTTTTCCTTTCTCATTGTAAGCATTAATTAGCTGTATGCAAAGTTAACACAAACGCGCCAATTCATTTTTCACGAAAGAATTGTTTTGGATGCTCGCTTTACTATTATTATTTTTGTTGTTATTGTTGTCGTTGACAAGTATACGAATTGAGAAATTTATTTTTTCAATACACAATACGTACTCACTCTCGCTCCTTACATTTATATTGAATAAATCGTTATTAGCTCTTATTTGTTCATTCAACATTATCATTATTAAGCGCGCGTGCAAACATCTAAATCAAATTGGTTGTGAATTCGGTTTAAGAATAGTAGTACTGTTACGAGCTTCAATACAATGCTTCAATGCTTAAAAACCAAATGAAACGTATATTTATAATAAATTGCAAGCCAATTTTTCCATAATATTAATATTTAGCCATTGTCTCATGTAGGTCAGGAAATTTTCGTTGTAAAAAAAAAAAATAAAATAAAAAAAAAAAATAAAAATAAATAAATAAATAAATAAATAAATTAATTAATAAAAAGAAAAAAAATAAAAAAAAAAATAAAATCAATACGTTACAAAATGTAGCATATAAAGTCTAACATCTATTTTCTACATTATTAATAAACAATGACGTGTGATTTAACGCAATTTTTAAGTATCTTGTAAATTATGCACAATATTTTACGGAGAAACAAACGTAAACATCATTAAGCATGTACTTTAGAATGCTATAATGCAATATTTGCGCTCGTTGCATTAGAATTTATTATTCCTTTGTTGAGGAAAATAAAAATAAATAAATAAATATATAAATAAATAAATAATAGAAAAGAACAAGAAAGGAGAGTCTGACAACGCAAACTTGACAACTGATAACAATAATTGAATATTCGGTTTCGCCAAAATCGACAATTTTATCGGATAAGCAGCATGTGAATATGAAAAAGTAAATGAATAAATTATACGTATAATGTAGAAAAAATTCTTACGTCATAATGGCTGCCAACTCCATTGCTCGTATCATGAATGAGAACTTCTTTGCTCTGATGAAAGTTAAGACCGACCACTCCAGACTCCTCCGTGACGTAAACCGGTTCGTCTTTCTTGCCCCAATTTAAGGATGCCTATCAATAATCAATAATAATGACTTTCTTTAAAATTTCTTTAATTCAACGACATTGCAGGTATACGTAATTATATTTATAAGCGTGATTATGTAGATGAATGGGTGATGTGATGTTTCTGGTTTTTTTTTTTTTTTTTTTTTTTTTTTTTTAATTTTATTATTATTATTATTTTTTTCTTTTTAGGTATACGAGTGTAGTAGTTGAACGATGGAAACCGGCTCAACTTGACCTTCCCATTTTCTTATCTATGCTTTACAATTTTTTTTATCTTTCAAATAAATTTCAGATGTCAGTGCTGTCATTTTAGCTGTAATTTCTATGATTTGTGTTATTTTCATTTAAATGAATCGTCAATTTTTCCGTGAAAAATGAATCTTTTATAAGAAAGACACGATTCATAATTATTTATGTAGGAGAAAATGGTTGATTTAAAGGCAGATGGTTTTGGTATTTTTAAAAATTTTTCCATTCATTTTTTTTTTTTTTTTTTTTTTTTTTTTTTTTTTTTTTTTTTTTTAATTAAATTATAAATTTCAATTTCTTCAAATGTACTGTTTTTTCTTTTAGTTTCAATAAAAACTTGCATTACAAAATGATTTTATGTGCAAGAAGAGATGAAATTATTTCAAAAATCGAGATCATATTGGACATAAAAAAGATATTTCATTAGTAAAGATGAATGTAAAATATTAAAAAATTAATTATATTCCATAAACTAATATTGAAATATTAATTAATTATTCTTTATTATTGCTAGAGTTGAGTAAATGTTTTTCGATATTCGTACCTCTAATACGTCCGGGTATTCGTAAAAGTTTTGCTATTAATTTCAAATTAACAATAAAATGACGCGTCAATTAACATAGTCACATCACGTAATATTTCGGCTCATACGGTACTGGGACAACAAACGAAACCTGTTACCTCTTAATAAGAAATTGGTCAAAACATCAATCGGCTCGAGCCAATCGACAGATTATGCAATATTATATAGCATTTGCATGGATAGTCAACTTTTATAAATCACATGACAATATAACGATTGCCAAAAGCGAGCTGCTAATAATAGCTATAACCGACGCAATGGACTCACGAGACTTATGTTGTTGGAGATGTTGAGCTCTGTGGTGGGTTGGGGATACGATCCCTGCTTCCTCGACAGCTTCAGGAATACGTCCTCCAATGACGGGCAGTTGTACATCTGGAGAAGGGCCCGGGGTGATTCCTCGGCAAGCAGCCTACCACTTCGCATCAGACCGATCTGCAAGGTCAATTGGTGCTCGTGAGGTGAAGTGCTGTATTTTGGGACCGAGGATTGGAGAAAATGTGCGTCGATACTTACCGTGTGGGCCTGTCGTGCCTCCTCGATGTAGTGCGTCGTAATTATAACTGTTTTATTGCCATCTTTGGTGATTTGAACCAGGTGATTCCAAATACTGGTGTTTTTTGTGCGTGTGTTTTTTGTTTTTTTTTTTGTTTTTTAAATAAAATAAATAAGTCGTCCGTGGAGAATGTACGCACGTTTGGTATTTATAATTTTTATGATAAAGGGCTATTTGAATGAAACGAGTGGACTGAATTAAAGGTAAATTTCTCAATAATAAAGATGACGGTTAATAAACACGAGACAGATCAATTTGGTGTTATTGACATGTGATTGTTTTATATTGGACCCATTGAACGGGACTTTATACAAGTAATAAATGCATCGAATATTATCGTTTAATAATGTATAAATCTACTATTGTAAAATCGAATAATTGCTTTAAGAGGAGCGCAAATTATGCAAGATTTGTATTATATTATGAATTATGTATAAGATGCGAAAAGGATCTGGATAAATAAATAGGAATTCCACAATTTACGTATTTCATTATGTACCAGAAGCTAACTATCTGAGAAAAAATACAATGATAAATCACTATTTGAGAGATAATTTTTTAATATAAAATAGAAATTCCACTCCAATTATTAAGATTATTTTGTGCTAGGGGAGAGATTTGTAGTCAATATATTTGAAAAGCCAAAGCAATACAAAACAAAGGACATTCTAATTATACTAAGATTTCTATATAAATTTCAGACTATTAATTAATTAATTAATAATCCAATTCATTATACAATTATGAAAATGTAAATTCATTATGCTGGATGTTAGGACATAAAATTCAATTCAATGATCTACTCATACGCATGTATTTCTTTCATTCTTTTTTCAGTCTTTTCTTTTGCGCTAGCGTGTCTCACATTCCTTTTTTCATCTTGACTCTTGAACCTTGTACATAGCTATTTACTAAAAAGCCGCGTGTGCATTTATAATTTATGTTTAACGTACTGACGTAAGCCTCTCGAAATGTTTTCAAATTAATTTTTCTCCTATAGACATTTTTTTGTCCCTCCTGGCAAATTATTTATTTAACATAACATTGTAAATCATCTCATTTCTAATGGGTAAAATGCTACTATGCGTATCTCGGCTTTTTTGTAAATTTCTTTAATAAACAATATATTCGCAAATTATTCTTACCTTTTACTTAAGTTGCAAAAATCTTTTATCGTGGTACATCATTATATTTATTATTAAATTATTTGACAACGAAAGGAACGACAAAGTAATATTTAAATCAATTACATTACCGTTTAATTAAGAAGAAATTTCCGTAATATATTTTATGGAACGATCAAGACAGTCAATAAAAGTAACATAATACTGAATAAAATATTACATTTTTGAGATGCAAAAATTTGTGAGAAAATTTGAAACTCTTTATTATGACCGAACGTGGTAATTAAATAAATATATTTATTTTTAAAAATAATGCATTTCTCCTCCAAGTAATAACAAATTTCTTTTTCACTTATTATAAAATAATTAAAATACAATTATACAAATATACAACGGACATATGGTTTTCATCTAAATCGTTTCATAACCAAAGTTATTATTTTGTTTTTAATTGTTGTTAAATGATGGACTTTGATTATTATTATTTAATGCTTGAATGTTGATAAACGTGAATTCATTTTTTTTTTTTTTTTTTTTTTTTACATAATATGAAATTGAAATCATTTACTTTCTTTGTATTTATAATATCTGAAAAAACATATAAAAATTTATCTGATGATCAACTAAATCAAGTTTTATTTTATTATTAGTATTATTATTATTATTATTATTATTGAACACTTTTATCTATTTGGCATATATATATATATATATATTGAGCGTGAAATATTGAAAATATTATCTTCCGAAACTTGATATTAGAACATTATTCTGAATATATTTTGAACAAATACACAATATTGGAAGAAAAAAAAAATATAAATCTTAAACGAGGCAACGATTAACTTCATTACATTTTAAGTTTTATTTAAATAAGAGAGTAACTTACTAAATAAGCTGATTAAGAATGTTGCCTAATTGAGTGAAGTTCAATTATTTTTGTGCAATTAAAGTAATACATATTTTTATATTTAATCAAGCATGAAACATCATTTGAATAAGTTTTTAGGGACAAAAAAATTATAAATCAGAATACACCGTATGAGTTGGCGAGCAAAGGTTCTACTGTATTGATAAAAAAAATAGTTTTGTCCAATGGAAAGGATTTAGAATTAGAACAATGCAAATGATTATAAATATAATTTAGTATACAATAGCTGTTTGCATATAAATAACAATAAATATCATGCTCGTGAAATTGCAAGGTAACACTTGTGCACCAACAATGTAAATATAATTACGCAAAATATCCAATGATATTGGATGTATCGAACAAATCTAGAAAATAATGAGGAAGACCGATAAGGAAAAAAAGGGGCAAATATGAAAATATCATCTAGTCTAGCAAAAATATATCATGAAATCGGCGCATGTTGATAATAACATGTCGGTCTACGAAGGACACGCAAGTGCGGTACCTCATATTTTTCTTTTAGCATCTGACGACTGGAATTCGTATTTAGACTTTTTGCTTGGCAAATTTGTTGTAGTGGTCACAAGACAATTAATTACATTGAAAACGTTAATATTACGACTGGTATACGAATGGTTTTTTGGCTTAATTTTTTTGTTTATTGGTATTTTGCTTGATTATTTGATTATTTATTTAATGTTTCCAGTACACTGAATTTTCGACAGTTAAGATGCTATAAAAAAAAAAAAAAAAAAAAAAAAAAAAAAAATAGAAATAAAAAAAAATACCATTAATCTTAAATTTTAATTCACAAATATTTAATTAACCAAAAATTATTTATCCTTAAATTTTAAATTTAAAATTATTTATCCTATTGATATGATATTTAAATACGTCCTTACGTAAATATTCAATCGAGCGATATGCTACTACAATCATACAATGAATAGAATTGTTATGCATATATTTCATACTTTCTAAAAATAAAGAAACATTGTCAATTAGAATTCTACATTATTTGTAAATCTTTACAATTCCATAGTTTTAAATCAATAACTGTTTAAATGCTTTTCATATTCCTAAATACAGGAACGTGCGATAGATATAGTCTTTGTTTGTGTATTTTAATTGTCTATAACAAATTATTAATATAAAAATGATTGACGAAACAATGATTTTACAATATTTTTTGCAAATTCCTGTAGCCATAATTCATCTGTAGTCATAATTTATCTTATTCAAAGGAATAAGATAATTTTTTTGTTAATTTTATTTAATTATCATTGTTTTCGATATTCTCGAATATTGGAGCGAAATATTTCTAATATCGTATATAAGAGAGACGCTTATATTCGCAAATCTATTTTTCATAAATATATATGTATGGGCTATTAATTTAATAAGGATTTGGCAAATTAAGAATTTAACTAGCTCGCAAATTCATTTATTTGCATAAAAAATTGTTTCGACATAAGTAAGCGTCTTTGACTAAATATAATTTTAAGGAAAACGGATAATTCTAGCAACATTTTCAAAAACAAAACAACAATTCACTTTATTTAAAAATCGATAAAAACGAAAAAATTTTTGCATTATTTGCATGTATTTGTAATGGACTGTTATATAATCCAAGAGTAATTATAATTGGAATTTACATGTTCCCGATAGGTAGCCATGAATTTTGTTAATGTAAATAAAATCTGGTCTGCCATAATAAATATTATATCAATAATAACGTAATTTCGCAGTTAACGCAGTTAACAAATGTATATAATCCATTTGTTTAAGAGTATGCCAAGAAAAAAGTAATCGATTATGCAGATACTTGACGGTAATTAATTATTAGCTCAATTCAAAGAATCACAACAAGATGAATGGGCAAAATTGAAAAATTTTTTAATTAACTTCAATCTCAAGTAGACAATATCTTTAAAATGCGTCGAAATATTTTAAAGCCAGCTTCATGATAAATATTGAAAGTGCGATAGATTTTATAAATGGCTTGGATGAAATAAAATTAAATAAGTAAAAAAAATAAAAAAAAAAATAATAAAATTAAATATAAATGAAATAAGTCGCGTGCGAAGAGCGCTAAAGGATTAATAATTGCGCAAGTTGATTTTCACTGCCCAAGTGATTTTCATACGAAAGGTCGAATATCTTTAAATAATGAATCAGCGATTCAAAAAGTTGGAGGGCATTAGTGGGCGCTTCAACTTTCTCGATTGATAATTCACTCTAAAGACGTCATCCGGCTTATGTGCTTCAATTAGCTGCAATTGAATTTAATAATGCTCATCGTGTATTTTCGCAAGCGTCGGGAGTGCTTTAAAATATGATTATTATGACCAATGGCTTCGTCAGCTCGTGTAAAATGATACGTAGACGCGTTCGATTAGCCGAGGAGAATGGACCGACGTTGACGAAAACACGAGGCAAAGTATGGAGGAAAATGCGATAGAAATGAGAGTAACGACGAGGGTCCGGATGATGTCCTTAAATGGACCTGCACTAGTTTCACTATGATAAATTGCCAAATTTAAACGCGACCGTGTAGATGGGAACTTTCTAGTTTCTTAATTGATTCTTTCTCATAATTTCGATTAGCGTGCCATTGTAGTTTTCTACAATCACATTACCCTCGACTAATGCAATAAATTTTGAATCGGCTAATTTCGCAAATTGATATTAAAAGAAAAAGAAAGATCGGTTAACGAATATTCCTAATGATAAAGAAAGTCTACGAATCGCTAAGTAATTGTTATTATATTTATATTATTATTCCTATGATTCCTTATTATCATAACAAAACAATATTCCTCGTAGTATGAAAATAATCTTCCGGCATACATTCGAATGACTAAAGCTTGCCCAAATCAATAAAGCGCGGAATAGTAATATTTACACTCATTCTAAATGCTAAAATATATTTCTCTACGAATTGTAGGCAAGGCAAAAGTAATTCAATTTTCATTCGCAATTTTCATTCAAGTCCTTCGCAGCAGTAACGTAGTTTTGTATTTATAACCTTAAAAATTGGATAATGTGGCAAAAAAAATTTCAAACAAAAGTGGAGAAGTATCATAATGGTATACGTGGTGTTATTAATTGCAGGATAAAAAGAAAGAGATAAAGGTCACCTTTGTCGGAGAAGCGGGTCGACGCCGACCGTTGGCTCATCTAAAATAAGAAGCTCTGGATCGTGCATGAGAGCCACTGCGAAGGAAACTCGTCTCTGCTGACCGCCACTGAAAGCATTAGTTTTTTCTTTTATTTTTAAACATTTTGCAAGAAAAAGATCTTATTAACCAATGCCTTATTCTGTATCACTGCGTGCACTTCGATTCACTTCACTTTTACTTCGCAATAGATACACACTAAACTACGATACTTTTACGCGTGTGAGCGATTTTTTTTTTGGTTACGAATGCCACAAAAAAAATAAAAAAAAAAAAAGTTATATGATTCACAATTTTGCGTTAGAAAAGAAAACCCTGAAAAGCTAATTATTTAAAAATAGGACATTAAATCAAACCGAAAAATAACTACACTGACTTTATTTCGACATGTTTGATATTCCTTGTATTTATATTTTGTGAAAAAATGTCGGGAATTTTAGTGACAACATTAAAAAAAACTTGAGAGAAATTTTTATAAAAATCATTAATGTGAATACAAGACATGGTTTCATCAAGTAACACTTGATTTTCAAATTATTATCAATTATATATCAATGTTCCTAGGGTCTTTCTCTTCAATGACAAAGTGATAGAATTAAGCGATGTAAAAGCCGAAGTACAGGCAGCGTCGTCAAATTATCTCCAAGATCGCGTAGACTTTTACCTAAGATTTTTGACGAGACGATTCTGGGATGGCAGATCGAGGAACTGCAGAAGGAACCTGAGCCTCTCCACAATTTCGGAGGTGCACATGCCGAATATCCAGCCGAAATACATCATCGTCTCGCGTATGGTAAACTCGCCATACAGGGCGATTTCCTGGGGCATGTAACCGACTTGCTTGCCCGGTACTCCCGAGCCCTTGGTACCGGGTTTCCCTCCAAGGACCCAAATTTCCCCGGAGTTGAGCCGCCTCCTGCCGACGATGCAGGATAGAAGCGTCGTTTTTCCACAACCGCTGGCGCCCAGCAAACCATAGCTGTAGAAGAAAGACAACGAACCTCGTTACCGTCTCACTCTCCCGTATATTAACAAGGAATCCTATTAATTATTATGCGTACACGAATTTTTTTTTTGTTTTGTTTTTGTTTTTTGTTTTTTGTTTTTTGCTTGTTCGTTTGTTTGTTGATTTGTTTGTTTCTAGATAATCTCGCTCGTCTTTTTAACAATTCATAGCCATTCGACGTTCGGTTAAACACGAATTTGAACATGTAATTGAATTTCAATGTCTCGTTAAGATGATGTGCCAGTTGTCTATTATAGTCATTAGCAATGTCAATGCTTTTATTCTGTAAAGTTGCCCTTCGTGAATTCCTTTCAATTTAATCGGCAATTAATTTTATTAACTATTTAGTGAAATATTGTGATAAATTGAGGCGAACATTGTCGAAGTGAAAAATAGAAAAGCCAAATATCGATTCTGTAAGAAATTATTGCCAAACATTCAACAATAGTGTCTATAATTGTAACGTATGTGTAAAAAATGACGCATGTTTAATTGAATTGTCTTCTATTACGGTAATTTTATCAGTCATTCTTTTCTTTTCTTTTCTTTTCTTTTTTTTTTTTTTTCCTTTAGTATGATTGCTCATCCGAATGGTAATATTTAAATTTTCTATTAATAACTTTTTAACACAAAAATTTGTGCAATTATGAATAACATAATTAATGTTAATTCTTTTTAAAACGTAAAGATTTATAAGAAATTTTTGTTATAGATCACGACAGAAACTTACACGATTACACGATAATAATCTTTATTAATGCTAACTTTTAAATTTCGTAGAAATGTAAATAATGCGAAGATAAAATTATACTCTTTTTTTATTTTTTAACGATGGCATAGTTAAGTATGTAATTGTAATTGGTCTACGTGATTAAGGATTGTATCGAATAAACCATAGATCAACAAATATTTAAAAAACTTATCTAAAAGTATATATGTCCAATATCAAACCTTTCTTGGATTGTGCAAAATTTTTTAAAACTCAATTCAAGGACTTTTATCGCCATACGCGACGAAAATAATTGCCACCGCGTACGGTCCCCCCCCCCCTATCGTCTTAATACTTCCATTTAAACCCTAATGGCGCAAGCCGTGAATTCTAAGTCTTTTGAAGAAAAGCCAAAGTAAAACCTTCGCTTTTAATAGCGTGGCGTTAGTCTTAATTGCCGTACACTTTATATTTTTTCGATAGCTCAAGAAAATGAATTTCTTTCTTTAAGACGAAATGTAGATAGACTCTCGTTGTTTACCTTTCTCCCGGCATTTAAGAAAACGTGATATGGAAAAGTCGTCGACTATGGACCATTGAATCATGCTTTGAATTTGAGGTGGAGGTCAAGCAATAAGCGGTCTATATGCTCAGTATTTTACATACCGACATTAAGGTGTGTATTTTCTAGTGTTGCAAAAATCTGGCGTTTGTCGGTGTGGCAAGCCATACAACATTCTTAACAAGCTGTCTAAGGAAGCCTTTCAATAAGTATCTAAGTACGCGAGCGTTGTGCTATTGGCTGTCGAGGCGAATGTTGAATGTCATCTTATGCTTAAGCATGCAAAATTAATGATTGTAAAATCACGAACGGCTAAATTGTTATTGTAAGAGTGAAATATTAACTTGAGTTTTAGGCACGATTTTATAACTTTACCTATATTTATAAACTAGCCACTCCATTGTCTTCAAACATATAAATTTATGTTGCAAGAAATACTTTAATATGCGCTTATGATTAACAACGAGTAAATTATTAGTAATCACGTCTCAATAGAATATTTGAAAATCAAGATAGAGCAAGCAAGTAGAAAAAATTGTTTTTAAGCAAGTTCATTCGTTTTTCCATTCTTACTTCATTATAACATTATGATATCATTTATGTAATTAATTTTAATACAAAATTAATAAATCATCAATTAATTATATAATGTTAAGTTACAATGAATTAATAAACGATACGTCCGTATTGATAAAATTTTTCTCATTATTTATACAATATAAACTTTTTTTTAGAAAATTGAATTTAGAAACTAGTTTTTTATATGAAAAAAAAAAACAAAAACAAAAAAACAATATTATGTTATTCATTTATTCGAAAATTTATAATTTTTTATTTAAAATTATGTAACGGCAATATCCAAAAGCTAATACAATTAAATATAATTTAAATAAAATTCTTTAAGTGTTTTAGAAATATCATTAATACAAATTTAAAACATGTCGATCAGTTAAGACTTACGATGAATTTTATTAGAAAAACGTAAACAAATTATAATGGTATGTATTAGTATTTATATAATTTATTAAATATTATAATGAATATTCTGAAGAATATAAAAGAAATTATCTATCTATATATATATATACATTCTTTAAATAATTAACATTAATTTTTGTAATGAATTTTATGACACGCAAGAAAATTCTTATGATTTTTCCCGTAATATCATGTGATACAATAGTAAATATCATAAATTACAATTCTTGCTTTTAAAAACAATAATTTAAGTGACATGAAATTAATTAATCATTATCGTCTTATTATAAACTCGAAAGCATTATTTACAAGAAATTGATAATAAAGATAAAGTTTTAACTATTTAATATGTTAAATGTAATATTATAAGTTGTTTTTGAAATTAATATCTTTTTATGGTTATTTTTTTATAGTCTTTATCTATCTATATATATATATATATATATATATATATATATATATATATATATGTAATTAATAAAACAGAAAAATGAAAAATGAAAAATACAATTAGAATTATTTTGGATTTACATGTTCATTCATTAGAGTACATTACAAATGTCTAAAGTAGTACTGTGTCACGCTAATAATAATTTTTTAAGAATTAAGTAATTTAACATTATAATATTTAAAATTTATTAAAATTTCCAAATAAGAAAAACCATAAAATAGATCTCATATGAATTAGCATATTAAAATTGTAATTTACATTAAAAAAAAAAAAAAGAAGAAGAAGAAGAAGAAGATTTTATTTTCTTAAAGTATAATTTTAAAACTATCCAACACTATCAAAGGATTTTAATATCTGAAATGTCTTTGAACTTAAAGTGATAGTAAATATGAAAGTTCATTTTAGATGAAAAAAAATATATATTTTTTAAATGACTGCCTTATGTTAACTATTAGAAGAATTTCATCGCTCAGTTGTATGACTATTTATTTTTAGGATTCGATCACATAATTTTCACAAAAGAGTCATTAAAATACTAATAATAAGAAACAACACTATTTAAAGCTCGATTTTTATGAGGCAATTATATTGTAATGGTCTATAAAATGTTACCAAAGTTCCGAACGTGTAACTTTTCTCTTTCATATATTTTTTACCGAATAACAGCGACATTTACTTCAATTAAGTATTGCCCAAAATATGCCTTTAGTTTATAATTATATATCGAACAATGAAATTAAAAATTAAAAGCATCGCTTGTAAAACATAGAGTTTGTAATAATTTTCAATCTCATGAGTAATAAATAAATAGAACCGTTTATTAGTTAAGTTGTCGGAAAGTGTAGTGGGCGTTGTTCTATGAATGAAATATTTAATCTAATAGCGATAAATATGTATTACCTTTAATTGTTGAACATTGCATATTTTTTCATTAATAATAATAATAATAATAATAATAATAATAATAATAATAACAACAATAATGTATTTTTGCCAAATATTAAGATAATAATGTCTCAAGCTTAAAGTACAAGATACAAGTATTAACTTTAATCAGATTAAATTTACCTTGATTTGGCAATTGTGTTGAGGTGATATGAAAATTTTATTAAAACCAAGTATTCATGATATTTGAATTATAAATTAAGCAATAAAATTTCATAAAAATGAACATTCATTAACATGAAACACTTGATAAATTTTATATTACAATTATCGTCAGTTATTAAAAATTTATTCAAACTAACGCCGATAATTGCAAATTATCTTTTAGCGAATCGAATTTAGCGTTGCGAATTTAGCGTTGTAGTTTTTTTTTTTATTTTTTTTATATGAGATCTATTTTATCCATTAACTATATGAGCTCAGAATGTAATATTTTGAGCATTAAATTACAAAAGCCCTTGGCTTCGTTCGCAAGTCGAATTTCAATTTTATTTTCAAGGGATTTGCAAAGTATGCGTTAGAAATTGAAAGCGAACGAATTGTGAAAATCATGTTCAAGTGCAAAATTAACTCGTCCAATATTACCACAACTGTCGGAATTCTGTAATAATTCGCTTGTTCGTGATAAATATTGAGTGTAAGTAATGTATAAAGTCTGTCCGATATCAACTCGTCCTTATCCAATAACATTTCGACTATTTATAATTCGTATAAAAAATGAGTCCAATTGCGCGATCGTCGCGCGAAGCGCAAAATCCAATCGGCGCACATTAGTCATAATCTAGGGGATTTGCATGAAGCCTAGGAAAAGGTTAATACTACTCACATAGAGCCCTTGGCTACGGTCATGTTGAGGTTCTGTATCACGTGGTTAGGATTTTTGCTGCTGCCGTAGGTTTTGAAGGCGTGCCGCACGCTGACGGCTTGCTGGCGATTCCAGGCCTGATTATTCAGGCCTGGTGTGGCCAACACCGGGCTGGGCGTCATCGGGGCCGTCGTCTCCGTCTCTGTGCTCGACTGCATCATCGCAGTGCCTCCTAAGCTGTTGAAGTTCTTGGGGTCAGCTGTGTCCGTTGCCCCGCCGTCGCTGCAATACAATCGAGAGTTTCGCTGATTAGTAAAGGTCCAATGACCGGATAGCGGGATTATGAAAGAATTTGGAGAAGTGACGGAGAAGATATAGGGATTTCGTTCGATCGTTCGGAATGACGATTGTTGGGGATCGGGACGATCGTGTAGATTTATGAAAAGTACGTTGAATGTTTGATGATATCATTGGACTTGGCTCTGTGCGCGCACGCGCGCGCGTGTCTGTGTTATAGAGTTATGAAAATTTCAATACACAATCATCGTTGCATTGTACTACACTCTTTGGTCAGTGTGCATAATAATTGTGCAATGTTTACCGAGTATTTATTCAATTACTTCACTGTGCCAATCACATGAAGTACATTCTAATTTTAAATACGAATCTTGCATTCTGCAATAGTAATTTTTAAGTGTTTTTTGATAGGAATTTGTTAAGAATTATTTTACAATGCAAATTATTGTTGAGCAATGAAATATATGAGTTCATATATTGTTTTATGTATGTCGAAGGTTTTACGAGTGAAATAAATTTCAATACCACTGATTTAATGGACAAACAATGACAATTTATTAATATTTTATTAAGCGCCTAAGGAAAATGAATGCTTTTATTCCTCATATTTGTGTACAAATCAGCATTGAATATTTACTAAATTTCTTATACGTTCATTAAATTCATAAATCAGACAAATCATTGAATTGATTATTTATGTGCATACTGGAAATTAAGATTTTAGTTAGAATAAATTTATTATATATATATATATATATATATATATATATATATATATATATATCGCTAAGTTAATGAGGTAATATTGAAATTTTTGTCTTGTTATTAATTAAGTATTTGTATCTTAGAAGGTATGTTTTTCATTCTACCATAGATTGAATTATTTTAACATAAAGGAACTTTTCTTTTCTCTTTTCCCTATGATCAATATCAATGCATAATTATTTGAATTTTATTTTAAAAGAAAAAAAAAAATATTAAGTAAAAATTAGAGACTATGTCAACATTTAAATGTAATCTAACGACATAAAATTCATCAATTTTTATTTCAAATATATTTAAAAATTTTAATACCATGCTGATTATTACAATTTAAAGATTATAGGCCATTGTAGAAAGATCGAAGAGAGAATTTTTATGAATTTTGTCAAAAAATAAGAAAAAAAATAATAAAAAAAAATGATGTTTCTACTTAAAAATTTTAAGCTAATAATGTGTAATTTTATATAAATTGAATTAATTAATTAATTAATTCACGATTATTCATTTATTCCTTAAATTAATATTAAAAGATAATCAAATATGGATTTAAAAAAAAAAAAGCGCTCACAGCGCTTTAATAATAAAATCATCTGTTTAGTAATGGATACTTGAAGTAATTTTTATCAAATATATTAGCAATGTTTGATAAAATTTTTTTCCAAATATTTCATTTATAACAAGAAGCACTTGTTTTTACAGCATAAATAGATTATATATTCGATGCATAATAAGTGTGTCCGCTGCATTAGGATTATACAAGTTTTAAATCGTAAGTTGCTGTCTTGACAATGTTTAAATATTCTCAAGAATATACTTTTTAACGCATAAAAATAACAAAGAAATGCAAATGTAGGCATGCGAATGCAAATACTCAATAGTCAATAATTTAAAAGAAAGTTCAGATGATTATACATAGTTCATAAATTTGTCGTGATATGTTTTCCGATTTAAGAATAACGTGTAAGATATGTTTTGAAAGGCTTTCTTTTAGCACACTTTTAAATCTACTAACGGTAGATATGAAAGCAGCAACGTAATTTTATTAATTATACGACTATTAACATTATATAATATGTGGCATTTGTTATTGATGCTTTAGATAAATACTTAACCAATCACTCGCGGAAAACTTTTCTTTGCCTCGATAGAGCGTATGCGCTTGTGTTTTCAAGACTTGCACAATTCGCAATCAATCCAAGCATTGTATTTTATAAACAAAAAATCCTTTAAAATTCAATTGAAAATTAAATTCTAATAACAAAATAGTCGAGAATAATAAAAGACATTTAAATTTCTAATTTCTTGTCTGCTGAGAATATTTATTCAACAGCCTAGTACAAATTGCTTTGAAATATCCATAATATTTATTGCGTTGGCTCAATTATATTTAGTTAATTTATATATCTATATATATATATATATATCGTCTAAATTATCTTATAAAATATTCTACATAATTATAAAAAAAAAAAAAAAAAAAAAAAACTGGATTTTGAATATTACTTACTCTAAAATAATCCACGAAATTGTTTTAAATACTGTAGTATATAGAAAGTAATATCAAAAGAAGAAATTCAGGTCAAACGATAGCTGTTTTTTTAGTATTTTTCAAAAGCATATATTTAAATTAATAATTATCGGTGCTGTATCGCCGGACTTTCCGTCGTTGAAAATTTCTGCGTCTGTCGACATGTGAGGCTGAGCCCGGAATTCCCAATTATATAACCGTCACGAACTAAGCCACTTCTGCCCATTCATACACTAAGGTCAATGCAAAATCCAAATTGCCCGTTTAAATAGCTACAGCTACAACTACCACTACATAGCCAAAAAAATCGACAGCATTCAGGCAACACGATTACCATTTCACCCGGGTGGCCATTATGGAAGGGAATAAAGTAGTCGCGATGGGAGCTACGTCGTGAAGTTCCTTGGCGCTGTAACCGGTTCGTTAAATCGCAGTGGTAGCCCAAGCAAGCCCCCCCCCCCCCCCCT